TTCTTTACCATCTTCCACCAGTAGCTTCATAATTCTTCCATAAGTACATGTAAACATTTTGTTATTTCTCCTTCCAGGTGTTTTCATTGCTGTCTCTATGAGTGCCTGCACACACTCAAAACGCATCCACAAAAACATGATTGGAAAAATACAGGAAGACGTGGTGTTCATTTTCCTTGTTAATAACTTGAGTTCTTCATATCCATGAATAGTAGTTTTTGTGATGTATTTCTAATCTAATGATTTGATGAGCAAGTGATGGAGGTAATATGGTTATGATGAAATGGAAACAAGAGCAAAGCCAGTGTAAATTTGCAGAAAAATCACACATTTGGGGTGCCTAATGATTGTTGAAAATAATTTCCAAGGCTCCATTGTGGCTTACCCATTTTCTCCTCTGAAAAGACTGAGAAGTGTTTTAGTTGCTCGGTCGTGACTCTGTGTGACCCCGTGGACTGTACCCCACCAGGCTCCTCTGTCCATGGAGTTATTCAAGTAAGAATACCAGAGTGGGTTGCCATTGCTTTCTCCAGGAGATCTTCCTGGCCCAAGGATTAACCCATGTCTCTGCATTGCAGGCAGGTTCTTGACCATCTGAACCACCGGGCAAACCCTAAAAAGACTGACGCTTCCTACAAAAGCTTGGGAATTGGCATAAATAGTCTTTACCCAGGAGCCTGCCCTCTCTAGAAAGACCTGAGTCACAGCCCCCAGATCCTTTCGGCCAGCAACCTTTATTTACATATGGCTTCAAAGGTAGTGAGGAAAGGAATGGTAGGAAGAGCAGCAAGTGCTTATTCAAGCAACTATTAATTTGGGGAAAGCAAGTTTCCTACCCGGGCCAACCTAAAGTTGATCCAAAAGTCAACAGCTAAAAGAGCCAAAACAAACACACAGGTCAAATCTCTGAGGGCTATACTGCCTAGCAAGAGATCCAGCTTCAGGAAGGACACGAAGATGACTGACCCCTTTCTGGCTCAAGCCTCCTTTTTCTCTGGATGTAATTCCTAACAACATCAGAGCCTCCATGCGTCTGTCGGCTGGCAGCCTTGTCCATAAGGAAGCTGTGTTTACAGGGTCAGTGAGGAACAGAGGAAGGGCATCTGGGTGTCTAAACAAGGGGCCTCTGTTAAGGACGCTCCAGCATAGGCATGTGTGTGAGTGGCTCCATCTAAATAAGGCTTTCGCCAGAGCAATGCCTTGTTCTGCCCAGGAACCGCTGCTCAGCACAGCCTTGGAATTTTTCTTTGCAAATTTTCTTTGGAAGCCCACAAGAAAAACCTATTTCTTTTTTTAATTTTTTTGTATCCTCTGATTTTATTTTTTAATGTGGATCTTGTTTAGAATAAAAGGAACTAAACTTGGAGTTGGAGAAACCTATGTGTTAATTCCAATTAATCTACTAACTGGCTGAGTGTCCTTAGATAATCACATATCCTCTGTGTTTCTTAATTTCCTTATCCATAATGAGAGGAGCATGATCATTATCTACTTCCCATCACTTATCACAAGGGAAGTTACCGTGATGCAATGGTAGCCTCTAAGGTCAGTATCAGGCAAACTGCTACACCTTACCCGAGATCATGGAACAAAAAGGCTGACTAACCAAATGGGGTTTCAATCACGTGGATTAGAGAATCAACGTAAAACACATAGTGGAAGCAAGAAGAAAGAGATGAGCACTCGGTAGGGTGTGATCAGGGTGGAAGGACCACACCGCCGAACCCTGGGCGGGGGCAGTGTTCATCTGCCCTAACTCTCCCTCTGCCACGTCAACCGTCCCCCTTGGGGACCTTCCCCGCTGATGGTTGGGTTACAGGATGAGAGTTGAGGTTTGAGCTAAGGGGCTCACCAGTGGAAAGTGCCCTGCCCGAGAACACACAGATTGTTGGAGAGACAGCACAGGTACGGCAGCCTAATAGCTGTAGCTTACAGTTCACCTGCTGAGCAGGCCTGAGTTTCAGTCGTGAGGTTTTGCAGGGGACACACAAGTCAGAATGGGTGTCAACCCCTGTGTGGCTGAATTACGGCCTCATGGATATTGATTGCTCATGTATATGTAGCACACCCAGAATATTAGTACCTACAGGACTCATGCATATTTATGTGTCACTTATATTTAGTGCACGGGTGCCTCAAGAATATTTAGTGCCTCCTAAAAACTAGATATCTTTTTACCTATCTCTTTCTATCTATGGTTAAATATACGCATGTCATAGTTTCTGTAATAACATATTTTATGAATTTCATTTGTCTAGTTTTTTCCATTTCTGTTTCAGAATTGAGTATTTTCAAACCAAACAATGAACATACACGTTGCAACGTTCTATCAGAGGGCTCAAGTGAGAAAGCAACTTGTTAACTGTAAAGTCCTCCATCATTTTAAAGGATTATTATTATTCCTGTTATTTTGATTATGGCCATTTATAAAAATCAATTTTATCTTCAAAGGGTGAAGAGGAGGCAGTTTAACTCGTGAACTCTTCCAATAATTGGCTTTAATAGTTTTGGGGAAATTGCATAATCTCCCTGAGACGGTTTTCTCATCTGTGAAATGGGAATAACAGTAGCAACTTCATAATGCTCTAGTGAAGATCCAATGAGATAATGTGTGGAAAGCACTTAGGAAATTGCTTGACCCACAGGAATGATGATGTTGTCTAACCTCTATTGAATTCTGACTCTATGCCAAACCCTCACTGATTACATGATTCTATAGGTATGATCACCATGCCCACCTTACAGATGAGGATTTTAAGATAGAAACAGAATCAGCATCCAGGCAATCTGACTACAAGCCCATGCTCTTGACCATTTTGTAACACTGATGCTACCACAACAAATATTCAATGCATGTTTTGTCATCACATTAGTAATATTTCTCACTAGAGCAGATACTCAATATCACGTGCCACCGGTGTTGATATTTTGAATTGACTCTCTCAACCACAATTCTTCCTTCCATCTGGTTAGAGAAGTTGTCAAAGGATACATGACATTTTCCAGAATCCTTGGCATCTAGGGTTATAATGTAAATTCTGCTTTGAGAGTAAATGCGTTGGTGAGTAACATGAGAGGCAGAAGTGGGGTGAAGCCATCCTCCTGCTGCTAAGGCTGCTGGCAAACGAGGTGTGGTGGACAGACTCAGGTGGCCCTGAGATTCTCCCTGCTGACATTCACACCCTTGTGAAATCCTTTCCCCTGAAATATGGGTGGTAGGGCCTGTGACTTCCAGCAGCCCAGGGACGGGTTTCATAGAAGACAATTTTTCTACAAAGCAGAGTGGGGTTATTACATTTATTGTACATTTTATTTCTATTATTACATCAGCTCCACCTCAGATGGAGCATTAGATCCCAGATGTCGGGGACCCCTGTAATAACCCATGGGATGTGGCATGGTGATAGAATTACATGTACATGATTATGTTGTATGAGACTGCATTGTCCATCTTGCTAGGAGATGCTCTTTCTCTTACTGGTTTTTGGGAAGCTAGTAACCATGTGGCAAGAGGTTGAGGATGCCCTCTGCTTAATAATAATCAGTAAGAAACCAAAGCCCTTTCTCTGACAGCCTGCAAGAAGCTGAATGCCACCAACAACCATGTGAGCTTGGAAGCAATTCCTTCCCTGGGCAGGACTCAGATGAGACTGCAGCCCCAGTTGACACCATGATGGCAGCTTCACAAGACACTGAGTCAGAGGATCCATGTAAGCTATGCCTATGTTCCTGACCACAGTAACTATGAGATAGTAATGTGTGTTGCTTGCAGCCCCTAGGTTTATGGTGAAATTGTCATGTGGCAATAGAATACTAATGTGTGTGCGTGCTAAGTCACTTCTGTTGTGTCTGACTCTTTGTGACCCCATGGACTGTAGCCCACCAGGCTCCTCTGTCCTTGGGATTCTCCAGGCAAGAATACTGGAGTGGGTTACCATGCCCTCCTCCAGGGGATCTTCCCAACCCAGGGATGGAACCCACGTCTCTTATGTCTCCTGCACTGGCAGGCAGGTTCGTTACCACTCGCCCTGCCTGGGAAACCCTAGATAACTAACATGTGAGGTTATAGCTGGGAGATGATTTGGCTGTTGTGTCAGCAACAGAGCCTCCTGAAGTAGGCAGGGAAGCTACCATGGTCTGGATGTCCTTGAACTCAACAGTCCAGTGCTGGGCCCGTGACGTCCATTCTTCCAGCTCCTTTGGCAATTTTACTCCCCTAATATTCCCACGTCTGGAGAAGGAAATGGCAACCCGCTCCATTGTTCTTGCCTGGAGAACCCCAGGGACAGCGGAGCCTGGTGGGCTGCCGTCTATGGGGTCGCACAGAGTCAGACACAACTGAAGTGACTTAGCAGCAGCAGCAGCAGCAGCAGCAATATCCCACGTTAAATCACTTTCTTCTTGAATTACTCAAAGTGGTTTCCATTTCCTATACTGAATCTTAGTTCCTATCATCTCCTTGCTTCAAAATCATGGCCTGTCTAACTCAGTATTTTATTCTTTGGTGATCCAAAAACATTTTAGGAGAGAGCAGAGTAGTTTGCTTTCAAAATGTCAAGGAAGAAAGGAAATGATGATCGTTGAGCAAGTCTAATCTGCACACAGCCACAGCAACCCTTTCTTAAAGAAAGGTAATATTTAAGTTCTTTGATTTTTATTACTTTTTCTAAAAGTAAAAGTTGAGTTACATTTCCTTTCATTTATTTTTTAAATTGGAGTATAACTGCTTTGCAGCACTGTGTTAGTTTCAGCTGTAGGACAAAGTGAATTAGCAATATATGTATACATGTGTCCCCTTCCTGTTGAGCACCTCTCCCCCATCCCACCACTCTAGGTCATCCCAGAGCTGAGCTCCTTGTGTTACGCAGCTAAGGAAGGTAATATTAATCTCAATTTTTAGCGGAAAAAACTGAAGTTCAGACCCTAAATAACTACCTTTTAAGGAGAGCATCCGTGGGATATAATTTGAGGTCGAAGGGACACCTGATTGCACATTCTTTTCACTGACCCGTGTTTTTAAGAATAACCTGGGTCTCCATATATCCCTGCACTCGTCCTGCGGAGCTCACGGTCCACTGGGACAGGTTGCTGAGAACACAGACCATTGCAGAGCAGTGCATCCCGTCCCGTGACGGAGCCTCACACAGAATGTGGCGAGGAGAGTGGGGAGGGGCATCAAGTGACCTGACTCGGGGGTCGGGAGGAGGGGGCTCACGGTGGCCTGGAATAGCCTTTGGTGCCGGGACCTCACGGATCGCTGACATGAAGCTGTGGGAACTCCGCAGAGCGGTGCCGGGCAGGGACACGGGCGGAAAGGCTTCGGTGACTCGGGGAGACCTGGGGCGGCCTTGACCGGCCAGGCGCTGAGCCCGTCCACGTTCCTGAGCGCAGCGCGCCGTCCCTGGAGATGGTTTAAGCCCCAGGCTCGTTCTGCAAGGATGACCGGATATCAAGCTCCAGCAGGCCACGGGCCTGTTTTCCTTAGTTGCTTGCTCTTTGGCACAAATGTATTTTCCACTAATTGCGGTTTGCAAAAATTAAGTTTAAAAGCCTTTGATTGAGTCAAAAGATAGATCTGGCTCACTTTCATCAAAACTTACCCAGCTCTCCTGTCAGGAGAGAAAACAAAGTTTGAGAGTTTAAATCTCAAACAGCTTAGATTAGTTCGGATGCCAAGATATCTCAGCTCTAAGAGCCCATGGGCAATTTTTTTTTTGAACCCTTCTGAACTTCATTTTCCATATCAGAAGAACGGGTGAAGAGGGACTCCTGTCTGAGTGTGTGACTGTTTCTGTGAGGATGAAAGGAAGGCCAGTGTCGCTGCCCCTGGCGTGCTGGCCCTTGCCGAGGTCTCACGTCTCTGCCTGCTGCGGGCGGCCCCTGCATTTCCCACGTCCCATATCAGCTGGCTTCTCTCTGGGTGTAGTCAATCCGAGGTGCTGATGGGAGGTTATAAGGTGGGGGCAAGGGAGATGAGGGGGTATTCCTCCTCGCTCCATCTGTGGGTGAGACCTCCAGAGCAGCTGCTGCTTCTTGGCACCAGTTTCCTGCAGGCACACCCTCCGTGGTCGGGGTCGGCAGGGTAGCCCAGCACCTCGGCTCGGGGACAAGACTGCCCCCCTCCTCCTTTTCGTCGGAGACACCCCGGGCATCACCTGCTGTGGTCTTCATTCTTCTCCATAGCCGTTTCCTGGTATTAGATTCCCTGTTTCTTTTTTTAATGTTTTAATTGGAGGATAGTTGCTTTACAATGTTGTGTTGGATTCTGTTGTACAACAACATGAATCAGTCATAACTATATATATATAATAAGAATTACATATAAAGCATCAGCGTACCCACATGCCCAGGGTGGTCCCTGGCACACTGGGAATGATGAGATGCAAGCACAGTCCTGAGATGCAGGCTCTGGAGTAAGCCTCCCTCTCTGGTACCCTAATGCCACTAACTACACACATATATATACACACACACATATATCCTGTCCCTCTTGAGCCTCCCTCCCTTCCCCCACCCCACCCCGCTAGGTCATCACGGAGCCCCAGGCTGAGCTCCTTGTGTTATACGCAGCTTCCCACTAGCTCTGCGCCATACGCATGGTGCTGTATATATGTCGATACTACTTCCTCTGTTTTAATACTTAGGAAGGTTCTTTTTTCTGCCTGAATTCCGACGGCTGCAGGGAGTGGCGTGCACTTGCCCGACGGGGTCTGTTTTCTCAATGAATGATTAGCCAAGATACCAGGTGAGAGGAGGGCAAGCAAAGCCTAAAGCACAGAGAAGACTGGTTATAGATGTTGGGGTGTCTTCACTCACCCTCTGGTGAGCAGGCGTTCGAGGTGCGGCTGTGGTAGAAGGATCGTTCCCTTTCTGCCTATGGAGGGTACCCTGAGAAACACGCCTTTGAGCAGAACAGAAGGGTCGGGAGAGCCGCCACTTCCGTTGGCTGTTCGCAGCCCCCCACCCTCCCCGGTCTGTGCCCTGGGGTCTGGTTCCCTGTGCTGGCCGGAGCTGGCCTGGCTTCTCAGCACTCAGGCTGTCACCACGGGGTTGCTTGGAAGAACTGCTCCCCCTTATGAAGAACGGATTTTTCCAGCCCCACAATCTGGGGCAAGAGCTCCTCTCTTGAACAGACCGAGAATGTCTGAATATTTGCCTGAATGTCTGAATGTCAAAAATATTTGCCACAGCTATTCAATCAAGATCTTATTTTCGCATTCCTGCTGCTGGCTTCCCAGCCCCACACCAATCTGTTGTTTACATCCCAGAGCCATTTTATTTTCATTCCCAGCACAGCACGAGTCAGAGGCATCCAGAATGGGCCCCACCCAGAGTCAGGAAGAGTCCAACTTAGGCTGTGCCACTGGGAAGGAGACGGGACGGTCACTGGACTGAGCCCACTGGAGGGGGCACAGGGGGTGAACTCCCTGAATCAGGGCAACCACATGCCCACGATGGTGCCTGGTACACTGGGGATGATGGGCTGCAAGCACAGTCCTGAGATGCCGGCTCTGAAACCAGCCTCCCTAGCTGGTACCCTAATGCCACTAACTGCCCGAGTCCCTCTGTGCCGGGTTCTCATCCGCACCGTCGCTCGTGCTCACAACAACCCTGTGAGGCAGTTACCAAGTCCAGTTTGCACATGATGTCATCAAAGCTCAGAGAGGTTAAGCGATTTGTGCAACGCTGCACAGCTGGTCAATGTCAGAACGGGGATTCAGAGCCACACCTTTCAGGTTCCAAACTTGTCATTATTTCAACAGTTCTATGCTGCCTTCCTGACATCTTCATGGTAGATGTAGATAGACCTAGAGACTGTCACACAGACTGAAGTAAGTCAGAAAGAGAAAAACAAATATCACATAGTAACGTATATATGTGGAATTTAGAAAAGTGGTACGGATGAGTCTTATCTGCAGGGCAGGAATAGAGACGCAGGCATAGAGAACAGACATGTGGAATGGGAAGTGAACTGGGAGATGAGGATTGACATATGCACTGCCATGTGTAAAACAGACAGCTGGTGGGAACCTGATGTATATCACAGAGGACTTGGCTCCATGATCTGGGATGACCTAGGGGGGTGGGATGGGGGAGGGAGGTCCAAGAGGGAGGGGCTATATTTATACACAGAGCTGATTCACTCTATTGTGCAGCAGAAACCAACACACTTTTGTAAAACAACTATATCCCCATTGGGGGGGGGAAGAATACTTTGTGCAACCACACCACATATTTTGCAGCTGCCCTCACCAAAAGCCTGGGTGGACCCCAGTTGGCAAAACATGAGGGAGAATGCCTGTGAATCCAGCGGAATCCACTGCAATCAGTCCCCAGGGTCTCTCCTGCAACTCTGAGGCTAAATGGCAGCCGTTACCTGGGAAACCGAAGCCATGTGCAGAGGGCAGTGGGTGTGGAGGGAAGGCTCACTTGGATACACCTCCCATCACCCTGAGATTAAGGGACTTAAAAAGAGATGGTGGATGAGCTGCCCAGTGGCCGGTGTGAGAAGCAGGCTATCGTTTGGGAGAGCAGTTTCCATTGTAGGGAGTAACCATTAAACCAAAAGGAGCCTAAACAACAAAGCACCAGCCAGAGATTACCTATTTGATGAGCATTGTTCCCAATCTTATAGGTCCGTGATCTGAACATCCCAGGCATTACCAAGGCGATCACATTTACGTGAGGAACCCAAGTCTCTAGGTCACTGAGGCTCTACCTGTTTGAAGGTCGGAAGACCGGCCTTTGACAGAAACCCCTTCTGAGGGGTTCTGACAGAAACGCTTCTGAGAAGCCCCGGGAGTGCTCGGTGTATCCACGAATCCGTGCTGGGCGCTGCTTGCCGCGCACTGCAGCTGCCGCCACCACCCTCATGAGCTAGCCCTTCCCCCTTCGAGGTGCCCCATCCCATCCTGCCTGGTGGAGGATTCCACCTATTCTTTCGAGTCCTCACTTCCAAGTCTGCCTCCGAAACGTTTTCCAGGACTTTTCTAATCCTCTCAGTCATTCTGTGGCCTTGAATCCCCTCACCTGAGCACGTCTTGTTTTTGCTGTTTGTGTGTGGATGGCTGGCTTCTCAGGTGGCGTGCTGGTCAATGCAGAAGACCAAGGAGACTCAGGTTGGACCCCCAGGTCAGGAAGACCACCTGGAGAAGGAAATGGCAATCCACTCCAGTGTTATTTGCCTGGAAAATCCCAATGGGGAGCCTGGCGGGCTGCAGTCCCCGTGAGGTTGTGTGAAGAGGTGGACACGACTTAGTGGCTGAGCATGCGCACACATGTGGATGGCCAAGTTGTGTCTCACATAATATGGGGTGCAGGCTCTACACGGAGGTTCTTGATGAATGAGTGTGTCCAGATACGCATGACACAAACTCCAGAAATATTCAATGTCGACCTATGTGCTGTTCAGCCTTGTATTTATCTAGAACCGCTCCCCAAGCACTTCTTGCCAGGCCCTGCAGATATAAAATGGACTGAATGGGGCCCTTGTCTCAAGAGTTTGTGTGTTCCAGCTAGTTTAGATCCTTCCGGCTATTTGATTTTTTTGGGGGGGTGTTGGAAGAGGGGATATATTGGCACAGTATTCTTTTTTTTTTTTTTTTGCCCCCAAGTAAATGATAAAGAGTTATCTAACTTTGTAAGTAAATAGCAAATTTCTGAGGAAGTGAAATCATCAATGAAACACAAATCCTTAGTAAACAGTACAATATTCATCCAATTATAGAGCACTTACTACACTGACGCTTCCCTAGTGGCAGTAAAGAGTCTGCCTGCAGTGCAAGAGATGCAGGTTCGATCCCTGGGTCGGTAAGATCCCCTGGAGAAGGGAATGGCAACCCATTCCAGAATCCTTGCCTGGAGGATTCGTGGACAGAGGAGCCTGCTGGGCTACAGTCCATGGGATCTCAAAGAGTCGAACGCAACTGATCTTTCACTTCAGTTCACTTACTACACTCTGGGCCATTTAGAGCTTTCACTTCAATTCACTTCCTGCACTCTGGGCCATTTAGAAACAGCATCTCTCTTATTCCTCCATGCATCTCTTCAAGTGCATTATCATTTCTGCTTTAATGATGGAAAAAGAAAATGAAGCAAGTTCCTTGCTCCAGATCCCATCAAATGTGATACCAGGTTTCAAAGCCAGGTTTGTGTAATAGGTCAGGCTATGTCCTCAGCTGCTGTTCTGTGTCACCATCCTGTCGCCCGACGGTCCTTCTGTGTCCAGGGTCAGATAATGAAAGGAACAGTGATGAGTCACCGAGGGCAGGCAGCAAACGTGAGAAGATGGATGAACTTGTTTTCAGTAAGTGAAGTCAGAGATTACAGAATAATTTTAGAATCTAATGCACAACACCCCAGGCTCCCAGAGAACCATGCAGAAAGCCAAGGTGTGTAATCGTCCTCAGGGGGGCTTTGGTGTCTGGACCTGCCTTCTCACCCATGTATTCTGGGGCTTTCTCTCCTTGAAGGGTGGTTCTCTAGAGGCAGTCTGGAGAATTCAGATTTAAAAATACTGTCTCCAGGGCTCCTCTGCCTGACTCATTGTGTGGTCTCTCACTGATGAGTCACCAATCTATGACTCAGTTTTCACATCCTACTCAGGGCTCAGAGTTTGGCTGTTGGGCTCCTGGGGTTGGGTTTATATGGAGGTGACATAAGGTTAGTGATGTGCTGGTAATCCAGGGACCCTGGGCTGTATTGCTTTCCTTTTGCCCAGGGGAGCATCTTCTAACTTGTCAGAGGTGCTCATGGATGGGCCAAGACAAAGGGTGCTGAAGTGGCCTCGCCAGTGAGGTCAGCCTCTGTTTCTGCTGCTGCTGTGTAGATGCTGACTGTGTATCCTCCACTCCATGGGTGGCCTTCTGTGGCCACGGTCTGTCAGAGGAAGACAACACCCTGTAGAGAAAGAAATCCTTTGTGTGAAGAAACATGGATTCACTTCCGCCCTGTCCTTTCTTAACTACACTGCTCAGAAAACTTCAGTCTGTAACTTCCTGTTCTAAACCCAGGCCACAACCCCACCCCAAAGTCCTCCAGGTAATCTCTGGGATGGAAAAAACTCACCTGAGTTGTGAGTAAGGAAATCAGCCAATGGGGAGCATCTTGAAAGTAACTGGGTCTTTGAGAGGTCCCCTACTTCTGCATCCAAGCAGGCCATTGCTTGGCTGAGCATCCTGGGAGATGCCATGTCCTGATGGACTGCTGCAATGATGGGACATTAACAAGATGCTGAAATGGGATTCTTGCCACTAGTTCATCTGACACTTCATAAGATGAAATCAGGATCCAACGATGAGTTTGACAGCACGCCCCAGGATGCAGATTTTCAAGGGGAAGGGCTCGTGTGTCTTCATTTTTCGTCCAGATAAAGGATAGGAGTAGGGTCAGAGAGGGTGGAGAGGGGAGAGGGTGAGAGAAGAGACTTCTCTGGGGGAAGGAGATTGCTCTTTCAGGGGAGGGTGCAGATGCTGCTGGAGAATGCAGAGAGCTCTTCTTTGCGGTAGGGAGACACAGAGCACTGGGGCCCTAGCCAACTGTGACTAGCACCCGGCTTCTCCCAAGAGGTAGAGGATGGGAGAGGGGTGACTTTTGATGTAGATGCAAGAGCCAAGACAGAGTGCTGGGGGCGCTTAGACTGCACCCCCAGAGCTTTTCAGGGTAAGGGATGCAACTGTTTCCTGCACATGAGATGTGGGTCATGCCAAAAAATAAGCCTGTGGTTAGCTCCTCTTAGGTCTTGTCTGAGAGTGCCTGAGGGAGGAGGGAATAGGGCAGGAAGATGAGATGTGCGGCTCCCAGTGCCTCAAGTGGCTCCAGGAATGGGGTCTCATTTGTCAAAGTCAAGGAAACTAGGACTGAGGCCTCTGAAAG